GGAATAGGCAAGGACTAGCTGCAGGGAGTGTCGATACTCAATACCTACAATGCTGTGGTTCACCCAGCACTAACATTGAGCTGGAATCTTGTGGAAATCATGGAACTAGTTTACAATAAAGGAGAAAGACTAACCAGGTGTAATCGGTAAGATTGTATTATTCCTGCATTCATTCTTTTACCATCAGCTTCGGAGCTTAGTAAACAACATATTGACTTCTTTTTAGGCCTACACCAGCGTCAGAGAGGTTAAACTTGCCGTAACCCACAGGTGAACGTAAAAGATTAAACTTTGCCTCTAACTACGAATTACTGGCATTTTTAGTGGGTAAGCAGTTAAGTAGCTCTCTTTTCACAAGTATTGTAGTCAAAACAACCAGAGACGTGATGCGTGGAATTTTGTGCCCTTTCAAAATACAGTTCAGAAGAAATACCTTTAATCAGACAGACGATAACAATGTGACAGACGTGATGTCAAAGATGTATTTTAAAAATACTGTTTACCACAAGGACAATGCTGCATTCTCTGCGCTCCTTCTGACGCGTGTGGAAATATTATATTGTATCACCGACGGCTGATAATATCCTGGCAAAGAAGGATGGGGTTTCTCAATTTATCATAAAATGTAAGAAAAAAAAAATATTAGCTTTAATGGCTGCTCTTTATTTATTAATTAACTGTAAACATTTATAGAACTCCCACAACTACAAGCCAGCCCTCACTGAGTGACATCAGAGGAGGAAGCTAGGTTCCTACCTGCCCAATCAAATCTCAGTATGGCGTCTTCTCGCTGGGCTGGTGCACGCCATACGAGTCCTTGCTCAGCCAACTTCACAGTTTTTATACGAATCGTTGAGTGTGTTATTTGCAGAATGTAACGTTTGAATATTGCTAAAATATTTTGCGTTTGGTACAAATCTGTGTGGTTTGTGTGATTTTTCTGTACTTAAGTAATCGTTTAGCTCCAAGCACATGCTAATATTCAATTAGTGATATTACGATTATATAATCATAACGTTACTGAGCACTGAAATGAGAAAAACACACAAGACAAGATTTTGATGTGGCGTTTCTAATAACAGGCAGTGAGTGCCATCGTTTGAATCAAGCTCCGATCAAGCATGGTCGCACATTCCAGAAGCCGTTTCCATTTTCTCCGATGACTCATTGTATGGAATTAAAACAATCTACATGAAAGATATAAATTCTTTCTTTAGAGTTTGCTTACTAATCGTTTCTTAGGAACAGCCACCCAGAAAATGTTTGCAATTTGAGGTATGTTTTTCCCTAATTAGTGAACTGCAGAGACTTCACATAGGGTAACTGAGGAGGAGAAAGCCAAAGTAAAACTTTGTAAACTACTACAGACAAACTCTGCTCTGACAGTACAACTATACACATCACCCTACATGGCTAGCGCCACCTACAGGATGCTACAGTATAACACCAGTCTCCAATTGCGCTCCTCTGGGTCTTTGGGTTGGAAGGTCTCTGTGCAAAACCCCTTCCCACGGAGCTGAAATTATTGAATATGAATTAATAATTGCATGTGAGGGTTGCTATGTGTAGAACATTGTGAATGCACGTGAGTGTGTGTCAGGAATCTTACCTGAGGTGGGAGTTTGTAGCGCAGATGCGTTTGCTCACCCTTGCAGATGGACACAGTCCAAGGTGACCAGGTAAGAAGCCACCTGGATTGTGAATCTGTGCACGGGGGGTGCACAGGAGGCTGTGCAGGAAAGGTGGTCCAAAGCAACAAGGTCACAAACAGCAGGATAGTCGAGGGATGGCCGAAGTCAAGGGATGCCAAAGTTCAGGAAACTAGAAAACAGGATCTGAACAAATACACCAGGATCAACGACTTGATAATGTTCTCAGGGGGTATGGTGGGGGCAGTTTATAAACCCAGAAGATGAATGATCAGTCTCAAGTGAAACACAGCAATGGCCATAGAATAAGTCCAGCCCTCAGTGCGGCAGATATAGCCAGGCATAATAGTGCTAGAACAGCTTGAGAGAATTGGAACTGCTGTGGCTCAAAGGCAGATAGCAGGCCCAGGACAGCAAAGGAACCAGGTTCAGAGCCACTGTTTGGCACTTGTGGGGCGACCACGTCTGGCCATCTGGATGGCACAGGGTTTACCCTGACAGTGTGTCACTGTCAGATAGTGTATCAGTGTGTATAGACTATCAATGAATGTCAATGTTCTTGTATAATATCAGCATACGTATAATTTAACGTTACTTTTGCCTCTCTGCATTTGAATTCATATTTTACTGTGCCCACTGTCAGTGTTTGTGCTTGCTAGTGTGCCTGTGTATGTGCAATATCAGTATTATTATTGTTATTTACATAGCGCCATCAAATTCCGCAGCGCTTTACAATGGGTGGACAAACAGACATGTAGTTGTAACCAGACAAGTTGGACACACAGGAACAGAGGGGTTGAGGGCCCTGCTCAATGAGCTTACATGCTAGAGGGAGTGGGGTAAAATGACACAAAAAGGTAAGGATAGTATTAGACTAGTGACAGTCAGGAGCTATTAACAGTTTAATTGATACACTTTTATGAAGAAGTGGGTTTTTAACGATTTTTTGAAGGAGTGGAGACTGGGTGAGCATCTAACGGAGGAGGGAAGCAAAATCCACAGGAACGGTGCAGCCCTCGAGAAATCTTGAAGGCGAGCATCAGAGGTGGGAGTACGGACAGAAGATAGACGTAAGTCTTCAGCAGATTGTAAGGGCCTAGACGGGACATACTTGTGTATAAGGGAGGATAGATAGGTGGGAGCAGCATTATGTAGAGATTTGAAAGCAAGAACCAGAATTTTAAATTGAGCTCTATATTTTATAGGAAGCCAATGTAGGGACTGACAGAACGGTGAGGCGTGGGAGGTGCGGGCGGACAGGAAGATGAGCCTCGCTGCCGCATTCATTATAGACTGTAACGGCGCAAGTTGGGAGCACGTAAGACTACTGAGAAGCGGATTACAGTAGTCAAGGCGAGAAAGGACCGTGGAATAGACCAACACCTTAGTCGCATCTGGCGTTAAGTAGGATGCGCGCAATGTTTTTGAGATGGGAATGACAGGATTTGGCGATAGATGAGGCTTGAAGAAGAGGTCAGAGTCAAAGAGAACACCTAGGCAGCGACCCTGCATGGTGGAGCTGATGGTAGTGCTGTTGACTTGGAGGGAGACAGGCACAGGAGTAACAACACTTGAGGGAGGAAAGACCAAAATTTCAGTTTTGGTCAAGTTTAGTTTAAGGAATGTATGAATATTGGATGGGGGTGTGTGTAATGTCAGTCTGTGTATGTGATTATATGCCTACGAGTGTGTGCAATGTAAATTCTTGTAAATGTTATGCATGTTGTTGTATGACTTTCCATGTATGTCAGTATCTTAGATGTCAAACATTACTATTTGTGGTTTTGTAGTGATCCTGTGTGTGTATACTGTGTGTAGATATATTTTTGTTTGTGTGTGTTTAGGGTTTGTAGTTTGTCTGTGAAATGTCAGAACATGTATTTGTGTAAGTAGTCTGTTTAGAAATATCCCTTTGGTTACCTCAATTTACTTTCTATGTTCTCCTGTCAAACCTCCCCTTTCCACCCTCTGCAATATCACCTGTTTTAAATACCGATAATTACTTCTCCGATCTATTCCCTCCATGCAGAGGCTTCTAACTGATCCATGGTAGTCCAGTGGCTGTTCTTGTTTGTGCCTTAATACTAGAATGCACAGATTTAGGACAGCTACATTCTGATTTCTCACGCACATCATAGAAGTAAAAGGTAGACTTCCATTGGGAGAAAGTGAACCAATAGAGAAAAACAGAGGAGAGCATATATAAATATGCTGTGTGTATATATATATATATATATATATATATTACCGCTCCTCCTTTTTCCCTATATGGGTCACTTTCACTTGATATGTGAATAAAATCATCATTTATTGACTGTCTTGCCATCAAACACCTTTTTATTCGACCTCTAGATTTGGACAGGAGATACAGCTCGTACGATTGGGCAGACCTCTTGCCTATCATGACAAACTTTTCTTTCTTTTAATTATCTTTTTGATGGAGTTCCAAATCGCAAAACAAATGAAACAGTTCGTTCATTGTCCGTTTCGTTGGCCTCATGATGGAAACCATCCACGGGGCCAGGCTTCTAGTCTTTAGTCCCAGAAAGTCAGCCACCGCCACAATGTAACAGCTGCACCCGTCTCAGCTCTGCTCCACGAGACATCTATCTAGGCAGTATGTGCTCTATGCGTTTGGAAAGGTCACAAACCCTTAAGACTGGCCCTGGTACTCCTCACTTCTGATCCTAAGCACCCCTTAATCCTCCCTGTATTTAGCCCAAAACTAACCTTCATAACAGACTGCATCATTTAATCTGGTCATGTTTTCTGTTCCTACCAACATTTTATCACAATCATCCTGAATACTGTTTCATTTGTTTGTTTTTTTTTTTTTTTCTGAGCTGGATTCCAAAATCATTTTTTTTTTTGTAATTCTTTATTTTTGTTATGCATAGTATATCAAACATGCTTGCAATGCCACAACAGCAATTACAAGCTGGCTTATCGATCATATGGTAATACTGTAACATGGCACATAGAGTAATGGCACAGTGTATGGTAAAAGCAGTATAATAAGGTGCCTGTTCGGGCTAAACATATATATTTTGACGGTGTGTTGGGTAGTGGAGAAGTAGTCTCGTCTTGCAGCTAGTTAAGGTGTAGCTCATTAATTGTGTTTGACCATAACCACTATAGTGATACAATGTGTAGTAGAGGTTATTAAATAGTGGAGCCGCTTGTAGGGGACTCAACCTAGTAGAAGCTGCCGCACTCATAGTATATACAATTGAGTTTACACACTCACAGCGAAGGTCGCTGTTCGGGCGGTAGTTCTGGTTTTGAGGTTATGTCAGCCTTCAGGGTTTGGTGCAGTTTTGTAAGCGTTTGAGCAGTGTAGTTTCTCGTTTGGTTTCTGATTTGGTGGTTTTTACATGCTATAGGCCTGCAGTAAGGTTGCCTGCTGCTAGAGTGTCACACAAGAAAGAGTGGCACAAGCTTTTCTTTGTACTATAGTCTGAGTGTTGGGTGTGTGTTCTCCGTTAGACGTCAGGACCGTTTTGTTGTTTGCTTGTGTGTGTTTCGTTTGGTCTCTGTGGTCAGTTGCATCGTCTTGGGTGCGTCTGAGTTGCGTTTGCGATGTTAGCTGCGGCTTGTTCCAGTGGTCAGGGGTGGTTGTCGTTTCATTTGTTTTTTTAATGTCCTGTTTTGAAATTATCGCTGAAGCAAATTAATTATTTTATATTATGGCCCTTCTATCTGGAAAAGGCTGAGAAATTCTGCTGAACTCCGGATGTTTTTCCTAAAATGTTGCAATTCAGTTCTCAAATCTCCCCCAAATCACTGCTTAGCAAATAGAAGCCCACTATGTAACGAGCATAGGGGTTTGTAGCCAATCTCTCTCCAAGTGCTATGGACTGTAATTCCCATCATGCTCAGAGTTGCAGGGCATAATGACAGTTTCACTTCACGGCAGCTGCAGGGCTCCCAGCCCTCCACAGCTCAACGTGTCTTTTATGAAGCAGCAATAGCTTTCAGGGCTGAGGCTGTTAATCTCTATTGAAAGGCGGCATTAAGCTGGCAGAGCTAGCATAATACCTGGCATTCCACTCATATAATGCATGCCACATATTGTACAGTAGGTACGATTCATTGTGACACACTGTTGTTATCCAAGGGAACTTCTCAAGGCATTGTTTCATAACAATGAATACAGCGTTTCCTGGAATGAAACCCTTTTGCGATTTTGCTGTGCCATTCTAAGGAATGTCCGCGCAATGTTTACTCTGCAGGGATTTCACTCCATGACAAAGCCAGATTCTAATCCTAGATTCCACACGGTTTGCCGATGTTCTATACCGCACCGCTACTCCTGTATCATCTGTGCTTGTGTGTCACATTATCTCACAGCTTCTTTGTCCTTCTTTGCAGGAACATGCCATCCGCTCGCCACACCTTCTTCAGCTGTTTAGTGATTAGTCCTTTAGCAAAGAAACCGTGTGCCAAGTCAGCAACGCCCATATTGACAAACTGCTTATGAATACCTCCGAACAAAGGAAAGCGAGAGGGCCGTTTCTTACAGAAGTTGTCTAAAAAAAAAAATTAATAAAAGAATAAAATACCAAAGATGCGAAGCAAATTTTTGACTGGATAAACCGTAAAATGGAACTTTCACATCTTAGGTTTCTGTATAACCTGATAGCGATTTATTAATATATCTTAAAATTCTAAACCACATCTATTTTTTTTTTATTTAAATTGTGTGCCGCACTGTCCTGGCACAGTCTGAGCATTCCATGCTAATTATTTTTACCTCCATCTGTAGGGCTACGAGAGGATCCTGTGCAAGATATGTCAGCAACCTTCCAAAAGGCACACAGTGAAAGGATCGGACAGTGAAAAGATAAAGTGGTTATGGTTAATGCTTAAAAGAACACTCCACTGCCCATATAGGTAAAAAATATATAAATCCCTGTTTAGTATTTACACCCCCAATGAATACATGCATGCATCTGTTCATTGGGGTATATCTTAAAAAAAGTCTGTAAAAACTGCAGTTCTTAGGAGCAGCAGACAGAACACTCCCCGAGAAACACTTAATACAAAAAATAAATAACTCATTGGTTCTTAACATTGTTTGACAGAGATCCACATTTTTTACATGCCATCGGTACCTTTCATATGATTCTCAGCATTAAATGGGAGTTCATTTCCCCGTGTATGGCAAGTTATTGTGGCCGTTAGTTAACCATGGACAGATTAATATCATGAATCTACCTGTTTCAGACAGAATTATAAACAGGACCCACTATTAGGACCTGGCCCAGGGTTAAACATAACGCAGATCTAAACCAACCCTCCACTCCACATTATTTACACAGTGTAACTCGTAGGGTGAACTCACGTACAGTAAGTATTGGAAAGGAATGGAAGTTCCTTGTGTCTGTTCTGTAAAGAATGAACGTTGTCATTGTTGTTTATTCCTTTATATGGAAATGTGCAAGACATGTCCGTCACATCCCTGATTAAAAAAAAAAAAAAGCACAGTCCGAGAGTTGGAGGTGGGAGTAAGCAAGCAGTGTTTATTATTTTTAATTTCTTGTTTTTGATATACATTGATCATGCAGAATATATTGGATACTCATCACATTGTAATCACTAGTAACTATGGTGCTTGGAATGTCCCTTTAACATAATTAGACATTTAGAACCAAGTAATCCATTTGGCAGGAATGTTAAAGGTCAAAACCATTGTGACTTCACCAAGCCAGGGTGTAAATTTGTATTAATTCCTTACTCCCCCCTCCAAGTCCACACCCTTTTGATTTGACCTTGTTAAGATACATTGAACAAAACAATGATATGCAGCAACAAAGAACGTGTTAGACAATGAAAGCTGCAGTCACAGGGGACGAGACGGGCTGTTTGCTGTTCAGAATATTTATGGCCAGACCTCTATACCTTGTGCTGGTCAATGGTAAATATACATGATAGCTAATCTTGGGTATATTGGCCACTACGCTTCATCAAAGAGTCCAAAGAAGAATTTCATGTTTTCTCTATAATGGAATGCTGAGCGTCATTCTGCAAATTACACACTCTGATTGGCTGCTGACATCACATGCTCTCAATAGTCTTGCATTTTTGTATCTCTATCATTGACAATTCCAAGATGGCGGCCTTCACGTCAAAACAAAGTTACCCTAGCTTGGATACATGAAACTAACATTATTTGCATTCTTGTTTCAATCTGATTTATAGAACAAAATTCTTAGGCAACAGTGGAACTTTAATGATTCAGATAAACCTTTGTGCACATCATTTTATCTTGAAAACCATTTCATTTTATTTAAATCACCAGTTTATTGACAACATGGGATTACATATTTAAGCCTATAATATGTAGAAACCCAAAACATTAATTTGTTTATGAAGATATATATATATTTTATTAAAAAAAAAAATTTCTGCATGAGTTGTGTCAAGATTAATGAAAAGGGGAATTTGAAATTCACCTAAGAATGGATGGAGACACCAGACGTTGTTATCAAGATTCTGAAAAAATTCCAAACAATTGTCTACAGCCGGGTCTTACTATCAGTGACAAGTCTTTACAAAGGTCCACTACATTAAACAGAAAGGAATGTTCCCCCTCAGCAGGTCATATGAAGATCTTCTTGTCATGCGATGCCTGGTTCCCAAGCTAATTCCAGCCAGCTGCTACATTGTTACTGATCATCTTTATTTGAACAGTCTTACCGCACGGCATTGGAAAGGTCGGACGAGGTAGTGTGTACTCGCAGTTTAATCAATCCCTCTATGATCCTAGAGAAATTACAGGGGATAACAAATTGCATGAAACGCAGAACTTGATTCCCCTCATATATTCTATTTTCTATAGGTGGGCCCCACTGAACACAAGTTGGAAAATTAAAATATGTGATTTTTAACTAGTTTTGTTTATTCACTCAACTGTGAATTAATTTCGCCCAACTTTGGACTTGTGTACATATGCCGCAGTCATTTACGGACAAGTAATCGATAATCACTAAATGTCTTTCTCTAGAGCAATTACCGGCTGTTTCCTATGCTAGAAGACTTGATGTTTAATGACACGTAACAAGCGGCTGCGAAAGTTTTAACTTTTTCCAAAAGAGGCTGAAGGGAGTTGCTAAACGCGAAGTAACACCAGATTTTCAGGGTAGATGGTCAACATTGCACCTACCTCTTCCATGCTCAGATGACCATGGTTGAAGCACGCAAGCCCTGGGCAAACCTTTTACAGAGTCCTAGTGCAGTGGCAATAGAAAAATGTGCCAAATTCGTGATGTATTTCCAAAATGGCAAACTCTAGGTGGTGGTCGGTATCAGAGGATGTGAATAGTGTGCAGATATGAAAGATAGAAGTGGAACATGGAACCCTGTTGATATTTTTACCCTCAAGTATCTAGCAGCTATTGGTATTAACAATGTTTAACCCTTTAAGGACCAAACTTCTGGAATAAAAGGGAATCATGACATGTTACATGTCCTTAAGGGGTTAAAGGAACACTATAGTGTCAGGGATAGAAACATGTATTCCTAAAACTATAGTTCTAAAAATACATTTCGGGTCCCCGGCCTCCCTTTAAAAAAAGTATTTTTACTCACCTTTATTCCACTGCAGTGCCAGTCTTGACACAGCTGGCCCCGCCCCATCTCCTTGGCGGAGATCATCACACTTGACAATCTTAGCCAATCCAATGCTTTACCATAGGAATGCATTGCGCATCGAAACACTCCTCATAGTAATGAATTTAATCAATACAAGAAATGGTGCAGTAAAAGCCCAACACATTGAGGCTAACTTTGTATGTAGTTTTAATGATGCACATCACAGATCATTGTATTGCAAACAGTCTCAGGCTGTACTCCATAACAAACTTCCACATGATGACATGACAGATAAAATGTATAGCTTTTTTCAATATTGTGTAAAGACACGAAAATGACACAGAAACAAGTTAAAAGGTATTATTTGAACTCAGAGCTCATGTGGGGAATATGACAAAAACAGCTGATTTATTTACTACATAGTGAATAGTGTTGCATTTAAAATGGAATTAAAGTTTATGATTCAGTTTGTAATAAACTACAGTTTACTGTTTAGTGAATAACATCTTTGTTTCTGGAAAAGATTTTGTAAACGAGTAAAGAATGTATATTTTATATATAGAGAAAACATGTTAAAGTTGCACAAATAACTACATTCAATACAAAAATAAATTACTTATATTCCCTCATCGGCAGCTTTTGCAAGTAATCCAATACATTTTTCTTTTTTTTAAATCCAACGAGTTGGCCAGAATCTCTAAACCAATCCCCGTCTCTAATCTAGACAAAATAGTTTAATTGTGATATTAAACAGAAAATTGTGGGTGTGTGTCAGCTGAGCACACTTCCTGCCAGGCTGTTTTCTCATTTCCTCTTAAATGAGGAAGAACAAGGGGTGGAGCTTGTGATAAAACTTTATTTAGCAGAAATCTGACAACTCACATCAGCTATAAGAACCCTAGCTTATTTGTTTTACCATTAGTACCAGAGGTATGCAGCAAACCTATTCATGAGTCCAGAATGTCTCTTTAACGAACAATAAAATTAGATAATTTTTCAGCCTCAGACAAGGCCTCCCCTCCTCTAGGTTGGAACAGAATAAATAAATGTGCTGTATATCAGATGTAAAGCTGATGAGTATGATGAGTAGTGTTCTCTGTTATTTATTCTGAGTAGAGTGGTGTGGTCATATAGAGGGTGGAACGGGGTATGATGATTGTGAGCATTCCCATCATATAGGGGAGCAATCAGTTTGGGTTCTGCTGAATTCAATTTGTGCAGAACTAGATTATCTAATAACGCGCCTGCGCTGTACTTGTTGGTGGCATTTCTCGTGTCTCCACGTCCCTAAAAATCACACCTGACATGAAGTTACAGGAGCCCAAAACCGAGACTGTCCTGATGAATCTGGGACTTTTGGAAGGTAAGTTTTTATTTTTGCAATTTCCCAGCTGTACAGTGCTGCAGATGGTGCTTTATAAACACTTAACAGCAATATTAACAAATAATAATTTTGAAATATTACAAAACAAAATCTATGAGAATCGTGCTGTGGAATTGCCGTTTTACTTTAACGAGTTGATATGTAATCCGAGGGGCAATCAAGTGGTTTCTCTGAAAGCGTCGTTCCCTGGGTGGTAAAATGGTTGTAATAGCTTCAAGCATTAGCAGATTAGATGGACTGACTTTTAAAGTCATATTGTTTTGTTCCTTTAATTCTGTCGCACATTTAAAGGAGCAGAGTGCGGCATGGCTCCTGTAATTACTCAGATCTTCAAAGAGCAGCACTCATTATCAGAATTTGCAACCTGTATGGATCAAAGCGAAGCAGACAGTTTATAGGTGAGCAGGGTGCATCCTACGCTTTTGTCTCTGCCATGCTCAGGTAAAACAAACAACAGAGTTTAATGACAGGATCATTATTACAAAATACCGCTTTGTCTTTAAGTGGTTAAAATAGTTTTCACAAGAATGAAAGGGGGGCTTTTAGTTTCAATATGGTGCATGGGAGATTAACCTTTATTGTGCCGGAGCGGCTATGATTAAGTCTACAAGAAAATTAAGATGAAGAATTCACAATCAGCAAAGTATTGGAAAACAACCAGTGACTTACAGGGGAATTGTCACTTCCAAGGACTTAATATCATGCTTACTTATTCCTATATTAAAGAAATAAATATTTGTGAGGTTACAAAAATAAGAATAATTAAATGTAGGAATCCTGTAACTGGGCGCCTCCATCTTAGCTCCCTGTCCATCATTGTTACAAACTCTGTCCTTTGCACTTGGCAGTCACCTTACAGAAAGCACATATAGATGTTTCTATTTCTTCTCCTTATTTGCAATGTTTGCCCTGGTTTTGCGTCTGAACTGGATTGTGATTTGATTTGCCAGATCTTTATTATAGTTTAAAAAGGAAATGAAGTATCTCAGGTTATAGAAGAACTGCAATGTTTTATTAAATGCTGTGAATCCCAGAAGTGATAGTTCTTCTTTTAACGGCCTAGCTATTCCATGCGCTATCTGCTGAATGGGTCAGGGATTAGTATGAAAAAAAAATGTAATAAGTATATAATATTGTTATATGTTCACTTACTAATAAACAACAAATCTGCACAACCTCATAACTCCCACTAGTATTACAGACACGATGTTTGTTATACGTTGTGCTGTTACAGACAAAAACATTACGGAGACCCCGAACAGATACATGCAACCCATCATAGGTTGGTCTTTATGTGCGCCCTCGCATAAATTACTGTGTATTCAATACAAAGCTATGTAGCATCCCGCTGAGACATCACATTAGGTGCAAGTATTTTTAATGAATTAAGTGATAATACATTTCTTGTTATTCAATTTAAAAAAAAAAAATTAAAAAAAACTTCCTAGAAGAATTTTGTCAGGGGAGGAATATGACTGCGAGGGTCTAATATGGCTTAGAAGACAGGAAAATGGGTGTTGTAGTATGAAGGGTGGGGAGAGAGATACAATAGTAGAGACAGACAGATCTGAAAAATACAGAAAACAGCCGGGGAGTGCTTAAGCTGACAAAGAGGGCAATTGAAAGCATATTGGGTGAGTTGTAAAAAGTTGACTGCAAGAGATGAAGAGGGAGTCTGAAGATAGGGAGGAACCATCAGACATAGCGGCAATCGAATACTGAAAACTAAAACAATATGTAAACTTATTATATATGGTTTTAATTTATCCCCCTATAATTATATGATATTGACAATAACATTTTACATTTTGTACACAATTTCACTAATTCTGACTGATGAGAAGGAATATTCATTGTTTTGGCGTTCCCTAGTAGTGTCCGGCTGTAATGAGAACGAACTGCCATGTGCGTTTAATTTAATTCAATTCGATTTCATCATGCAACAGATAGTAGAAAATATACACAAAGCAACAGACAGGCCATAAAGAAGAAGAAAAAAACGCCACAGCCTTTTTTGGGAGATTGTGATCGAAAATCAAATGGAAGCCAAAATATGCTTCTGTAATTATCACAAGACACTCTGTAGCATTCTCAGCCCTCGCAATGGCAGCATTTTGTGGCGAGGAAGAAATTCTATTCCCAAACCTCTTGCCTGTAATGCAACATTTAATGCGAAAATCCCTACAATTACCAACTCTCGGGGTATGTGCTCCCCTGGGAGTTTTAAGCCTTTAAACCCTTTTCAAGTGAACAGTTACCAAAAATCTATGGTCTATGTACAGAATCCTCTCTGAAACTGCTTCCTTCTGCTACAGAGGTCAAAGCCAGTATACAACATTCCTTAGGGGAGAATTCATAGACACTTTGTGAAAAACTTTAAAAAGACCCAAACCAGAACAGAAAATGATGCAAATAAAAACACATTTCGGTTCATTGACTAGACTGCTAGTTATTTAGACTTGTCTAAAGCTACAGATTTTTCTCCATTATGAATATTTGGGCATTCATTTGTCAGCCCTCCGGGTTAGTGAGCCAAATCCTTCTATATTTGTAATGGAGTAAACCACAATTACAAAAATATGAACAAATTTAACAAAGAAGTGGTGTCTACAGTTTGCAATTCAGATTTCACTAAAATTCTTCGTTTACTGTAATTGCTTCCACGTTTACATCAAAATTAAAGAATTGTGAAAAAATAAACTGGATATCTGTTCTACCTACCTAGTTATTGTGGTCTAAAACTTACAAATGAGGTTGCGTTTTAGTGCCATTCACCAGTCTGAAAATACTATTTAAATATTTTAACCTGTACAGATACAAAGCCTTATTCTTTCCCTAACCCTTTGGTGCTTAGAGGGTTAATTGGTGTATAAGTGCCCAGTGTGTATCCTAAAATACCGGGCTAGCTATTGAGAGAACATCGCCCCCTGCTAAATTCTTTTTCCTCATTTTTTTTAATTTTAAATGTGTTCCTTTAAAGCTCCGCAGGACTTTTTATTTTTTGTCAATGCAATTGAGCTGTACCCTGGTAACAAGTCTGATAATAGATTGCCGCTTTCAATAGTTCCAAGCCATGTCACTTCAGAGATCAAATACAAAGGCAGCTGCACATATTTGGCATTGCAGACCGCAGAAAAGCCACACTAACTGGAAAGTCTGTCTAGGTTTAATTGGATGAGTGTCTGCCTATCTAACCGGCAAATAATACACTTAACAAAGCCCACTCTGCAGTATATCGAAACTAATCATGTACGGTTTGTGGAGCTGGCATTTGGATACCACCGTGACGGCGATCAAAATCATGCAGATGTCCCAGAGCGCAGGGGGCCCCCTATCCAACCGGCAGGCTGGTTATCAGTCACAAGTGTCACTTCCTCTGCCGCTCATGGACACGTGAAATCTGTTAACCCCAGCGCTGCCTGTAAACGAGAAAGGAAAAAAAATGTATAAAAAGAATTTTAGGGAGATATAGAAATAATGGAGCTAAACAGGAGCTAGCATGTTGCATTCGAAGGTCTAAGTAAAGATGGCAGAATACACTATAGCTGGGAACTAAGACAATAACCTGCTCTCAGTATTTACGAATTCTCTCAAATTAAACAGGTGGACTCTCACAATAAATTACTAGATTCTCAGAGCGATGCACACTTAGATAAAATGATGGCTTTGTAAAAATAGTGGAATTTTGAGCATTCCATTTAATTTTCATGATTTAAACTTTGAATATTAAAATCTAATATAGGTATGATTGCACCACAATGGCAAATAATGAACACAATGTGCACAACTTAATGTTTGATTAGAAAATAACTATCACTAAATGCAGAAAGGATTTGTAATTATTTAACATCTTTTTCTTTTGCTTTTAACTAGTATGTCTCCTTATGTGTTACTTACAGGGTAATTCACTAAGAAATGAATTGCTGGAAATTGCTGAATTGAATGTGAGCAGAAAAACATTTTATCTTAAATGTGAAAATCCTATTTCTCCTCTGCCTGTGGATAATACATATTTAGAAAGATTGAATTAGGGAGCAGGACCTGGGATGTCGCCAGTTCCCTGTCTGTTAAATTTGAATATCTGTTATCCCTGAAAAACTTGAATCAGACAAAAAAACAAAAAACTTTCCACTAAAATAATATATAGGTATTAGTAAAACGTCATCAAAAAGGCCCCGCGATCCTCAGAAAGGTATGAGAACCACAAAAAAACACACAGTGTCACATTCACCTCGCACACAAAGGAAGTAGTGAAATGCTCTAATCAGGCAATTTCATTTCCGTCAGAATACCTTATATTAATTCCCTCTTTCAGATTTCCATGGAATCTGTGGCAACAAAAGTGTTACAGCATGATTAAACCCACAATTAAATTTGACTTTTTAAAACTCCAGTGACACCCAGTGCTCGGAATGTTTAACACGGCTCCAAGCAGTGGCCTAAAAAAAAAAAAAAAAGCTCCATGAAAATAGTTCGGTTTTGTGGATTTTTTTCCCCACTGAACTAATTCCCCCCCCAGAGCCGGCTGAGAGTTCATTGAGAGCTGGTGTGATCAGGAAAGAGACCGTGAGCGAATGTCCGCTCTCGAATGCTTCTGCTTGTTATCAATCATATATTGGAATCCACAAAATGATCTACTTCCTTGCGATCTACTAATATTTAATAATTATTCAGGAAGCCATTCCTGCTTTTTAACCTTACAATGCTGGTCTTGCTGCGATGGCTAATTTTAGAATCTATACCCGGGATATTGGCTCCATTATTATTTAAATCCAGAATGTTAATCTGGCATTCAGAGACTCAGCCGGTCTGTAGACATCGGCTTCTATCCTCTTCTTGTAGGAAAATGGTAATAACTAGATGGTAAGCTTGTCCACTATTGGTGCGATATAAATGCTTATAATAGCAATAGTAACAAATCTTTACAGAGCCAAGTATACACATTGCGATCAGTAACATTACATTCGGTCTTCACAATATTATGTTAATTTCAGCTACATTTAACTTTCATACAAAGGTCTTACAAGGTGGCTTGTTCATTAACCTCAGCTACAATTAAAGAGACACTCTAGGCACCCAGTGTGACAAAACCCACTATTTTGCCTGCATAGGAGATGTCCTCCTCCTAAGTTCACTAACAGGTTCCTTAACCTTATTCATGTTTTCTCTGCATTCAGTATATAATTCTCTCTGAGTGGCTGCAATTCGTATAACCGAACGCCATGTGCTGGAGAAAACGGTGGCTATCTTGTGGCACAAAAGCAGGCAGCGGGACTTGGTCGTCGAGTGTCTGGAACTCTAAGTCGGACACTCGACCCAGCGAACACCAGTTGAACCATTCAAATGCATGCTTCTTTCTGCAACAGGCCAGGAGAGCGCTGTTCGGTAGGTTTGTTCGTATGTACAAGGCAAACAAACCTTGTACATACTGAAATTGACCGACCTCTACCACCGAAACTATGGAACTAATTTGGGCAGACGCCTCATGAGCGGTCGGGCAAAACTTTACTCCGGTGGCGATTCGACTGTATCCGTGGGATCTGAGCGCTATTTGAACAACTTGGGCGCTCAGATCCAGGCTATCCGGGGATATCATATTTGTGGAGGTTCCTACATGTGTATTAATATTTTATATCATTTATGCCTAATCATGTTGACACTGTAGTTTGTAGCCATGTTGTGGCAGTGTTCTGGGCGTGTTTTCATGCCTCCTGATTTTGTATATAAGTGGGCCAGTTGGCCAGATTAAACACATTCGTTTCTACTCTTCATCAAGTCTAGGCTGATGTTTGGGGAATTGGGAGCTGTAATCACTATTGCGCTTGGGACTCGGGAGATTTATAACAGATATACTCAGTCGGAGTATAGGGGATCCGTTACACCCAGCTACAATTAAAGGGACACTATAGACTTCAGCTGATTGAAGTGGTCTGGGTCCGATAACCCTGCAATGGTAATCTTGATAAACTGCAATAATGACCTTGCAGGGTTAACTCCACCACTAATGGCTGTCTACCTGAGTTATCTTTGCAGCAGCTACTTTTAAATCGCAGCTGAGTTACAATTGTTCCGCACTTCTAACTTTTTTTTTAAATTTTCATCACAGAGTAAATATTTATCCATATTTGAATTTGTTTAATACACATATCTAACACTTTTATAGAAACACCAATTCACTCAATTCTGTCCTGGAGTAAAATGTGACTCCTCATCTTCTGCACTGTACAGGCCCCTTGAGCATTTAGGCTTGTTGAAGTGGTTTATGTGTAAAGCGTGTCTTCTCCACCCCCTCCCCCTCTCATTTTACAATAAGTGCACATTTTAATAGAAATTAACTTTTATAAATTAACCTGGTTATACTGTCAATAAGACAATCAGTCCTGTTACTTCCTATGTGTTTAGCTCTGTGGAAGTAAACTCAAGAGCCATCAATTGCCCAGAGCGCCTGCCTTGCAAAGACTTCTCACTGAGCTGCATTGGGAAGTCTGTGATTGGACAGCCACAGAAAGTATGGGCGGGGTTAGAAGGGGAGAGTTTGTATTGGCAGCAAAAAAGATTTGCAGCTTTTGTAAATGGTTTTTAGATACACCCCATGAAATCATACGGAAGTGCATGCATGCATGCTTTCATTGGGCGTATAGCAACTAAATTATAAAAAAAATAAAATGAAACAAATTTTTTTCCCATTGGAGTGTTCCTTTTGGAATGGTAATTTTTCATTTGCTTTTAATAATACACTCTTGCTTTCCACAAGACAGTCATGTTATCATGTGCATTAGCGGAATATTTTGTGTGATATTACTGAGCGTGTTTACTCATCACATTGCTCAGACTGAGCTTCGTTTGTGCTATATATTGACCCAGGTTAATTAACAACTCGCAAAATCGATGGCGTACTTCCTATATACCGCAATATAAACAAGACAGCATCAATACAGTTTCATTTAGGCTAGTAAAACTTTTACCTTTAAAAACTACATCGAATTTCCTGTGGGCTGGGAAAAAAAACACTATTGATTTCAGCTGAGGATTCTTAGAATAATAAGAGCATTTTGATATAAAGCAATCTGATGTTTAACGCCACACAACGTAAAGCAATAATCTAAAACTGTTGTTTTTAGATATATTTAAAACAATTCCATTAAAATAATGTTTTTCAATACAAGCCATTTAGTTGTAGTTGACAGTAGTTTGTTTATTTCAAGACATCAATCATACACTGTCTACCTCCCAGAAGGTGTCCAGTCACATTGCCTCTGCTGTTTGACACAGATCAATATTGCTTTATTGTTTAAATAAAATGAATAATTTAGAGAATCAGTCATCAGTTTTACAATCAAACTATTCTCTTGTAACTTTTAAGCTTTGCTCATTAACAGGCATAATGCCCAATCAGTACGGGGCTCAGACATGCCAGTGACCAGGAAAGTAGACCATCAGTATTTATATAAAAACGTTGAAACAAAAAGTATATATTTTCAATGTAAAAGCAGCCAACGTTCTACATGATTGAATAATAAATACTAGGATACCAGCAACATACTAGTAATTATTTGTTTTCATTTGCACTTTGCCAGAACATCCCTTCCTCGCTATTTAGATCTGTCCCCCCCGAGGTCTCCTCTTGTTAAAAGCGTCCCTCATTATAGTTCAATAGGACGAGCTAGCTGAGATTCTGAGGATACCCAACCAGGGGTGTCAAACGGCAGGCAGGCTCCAGCACAATAGATAGCAAGTAGGTCAACGATGTACAATCTTAATTGTTTAGTTACAAGTTCATTAGAGAAGTGCTTCCAAATCATTCATAAGAAACCTCTAGCAGGGGAGTCAGAATTTAGGATTTTACAATTCTGTTCCAGCAAGCAATATTATTTAAAGAATGTTTATAAACACAGAATTACAGAAATCTCAAACACCATAGGCACCCAGAACACTTCATCAGATTGAAGGTGTCTGGATGCAGTGTCCTAGCCCTAGGGCTGCCATCAGAAATTTTGGGGCCACTGACACAGCTCAAGGTCTGGGCCCCCCGGGGCCTGCACCCGAGTCCGCCCAAAGTGCTTCCCCCCCCATGAGTCCGCCCACAGGAATGCAGTGTCTGCAGGGCCGGTGCAAGGATTTTTGCCGCTCTAGGCAAAAGTAAAGTTTGCTGCCCCCCCCATGTGACATCTCAATGCCCCACCCATATGATCTGCCATGTTAACTAACACCAGTGCTGCAGTGCCACCGTGTTTACATTAAAAGGCCTGCAGGGACAGGCTAGACACCAGAACCACTACATTAAGCTGAAGTGGTTCTGGGGACTATAGTGTCCCTTTAATGTGAGGTGAATTAGAGATTAGTGCCACAAATAATATACTAGATTGCCTACTTACAACCATATGAGGATGATGATGGGCTCTAGCTGCCGTCTGGCTCCACTGGTCTGGTGTAGAACAGGCTCTCTGGAGGCGGTTTGTAACTGTGGTCACAAAAATCAATGTTCTGGGATCAACGGGAAGCAGCTCCATTTTTTGAGGGCCCTTTACACAGCTCAAGGTCTGGGTCCCAGGGTCCACCTTCATGTTCCACCAATGAGTTTGTTCACAGGGGGTGGAGTGTGTGTGGGGGGATGTCCTGATGTGTGTAAGGAATGCATTGTGTGAATCTGTGTTTGTATGTGTAAGGGCTGCAAGGTGAGTTTGTGTATGTATGGGATGCAGTGTGTGCGTCTGTAAGGGATGCATTGAGTGTGTGTAAGGGGTGCATTGTGTGTTGCTGTGTGTAAGGGATGCATTGCTTGTGTATGTGTGTGTGTGTAATGCATTGTGTGTTTTTCTGTGTGCAAGGGGTGCATTGTGTGTGTGTGTTGGATGTCAATCTCTCCCCCTCCCCCTGTCAATTTCCTTCTCCCCCTACCCCAGTCAATTTCCATCTCCCTCTCCAATTTCCTTCCTCTTCCCCCTCCCTCAAATTTCCTTCCTCTCCCCCACCTTCCTCAAATTTCCTTCCTCTCCCCCCCCTCAAATTTCTTCCTCTCCCCCTCCCTCCCCCTCCCTCCCCTCAAATTTCCTTCCTCTCCCTCCCTCAAATTTCCTTCCTCTCCCCCTCCCTCAAATTTCCTTCCTCTCCCCCCTCCCTCCCTTTCTCCCTCCCTCCCTCAAATTTTCCTTCCCCCACCCTCAAATTCCTTCCCCTAAATTTCCTTCCTCAAATTTCTTCTCCTCAAATTTCCCTCTCCCTCCCTCAAATTTCCTTCCCTCTCCTTAAATTTCCTTCTCTCCTTAAATTTTTTCCTCCCTCAAATTTCCTTCCTCTCCCCCCTCCCTTAAATTTCCTTCCTCCCCACCTCCCTCAAATTTCTTTCCTCCCCCTCCCTCCCTCAAATTTCCTTCCTCTCCCCCTGACACCCGGAGGGCGCGCGAGGGAGCACCCTCCCTGGCTGAGTGCTTCCTCTTCAGCTCCCTCGCACGCCACTAGAGGCACTTCCTGCAGTTTCATGGAGTTTATCTCCATGAAGCGCCGCTGGACGCCCATCGTCTTGCAAATTGCTGCTCCTCGTGCTGATGTCATAGGAGGCAGAGACAAAGCCAGTGCCAAGGGACCTTTGCACTGGAAACAGATACGTGAATTAAAGGGTTTATAGCATTTTCATTGCTGCAAGGGAGGTCGCAGTGGCAGAGGGACACTATAGGGCTAGAAATAGTGTTTCTTTGCACTACTACTGGTGTATTGTCCTTGAAGGTAAGTCTGACGTTCCTGAAAATAAAGGGAAATCAGCTCACTCTATATTTTTAGACACTGAAGCCCCTAGGAAACTCTAATTTAGGCGTTAACTGCTTGCCCTCCTTTCCCATTCCAAACAAGAGAAATCAGCAGTTTTATGAATTGATTGGGAACAGTTTGGGAACAGACTCCCAGACAATCAAGCTGACAGTCAGGAGAGCTTTCTGGATCACTCAGCTTGAACAACTATTTGAGAAAAGTTGAAGAGGTTCCACAGGGACGCAGTAATCAATGCTTTCTAATGGGTGCTCACCACAGTTGTTGATTTGATTTTTGTATTTTAGAAATGATAATGGATTTACTGGAAAATGGCATTTACCATTCAAATGTTATAGATTTCCTAGTAATTTAAATAAATGAAGTGACTCTTGTTCACCACCCATGCCAGAGATGGAAAGGCTGAGGTCACATCGGTGCATGTAAACAGTAAAAAGGCAAGCTTCTTTTGTTCCACTTGGGGTTTTTTTTTCCTCTTCTATTGCACTTATAATGCGAAATCTCTTATCTTAATCATTACCATCAGCTAAACATAAAAAAAGATAATCAGATCCAGAACATCAGACCCAACAGTCAGCTGGACCAATCAAAATAAGAGGTTTCAGTAAAAAGATTATTATTTATAATAAGATTATTATTCAATGGATCGGCTCGTCCAAATATTCGGGAAAATGATTCGGACAAAGCAAAGAGGGAGTGAAACGGGGTCAGTGTACTGCAAACTATATACATAATATAAAGCTATATATACACACAAAATATATCATAGATGAAGTGAGAAAAAGTTATCAATAGGGGGGAAAGAGGAGAAGCAGAAAAAAAAAGTAAATCTAAATATATATTTATAAAATTTATGATAAATTAATAAAGATTCTTTATACCGCCGCTCCTTTTTGTCCTTTTTTAGTCAACCTCACTTGATCTGTGAACAAAATAAACATTTAATAGCTCTCCCCTAACAATCAATCATCTTCATTCCCATCAATCGTTTTTGGTACCACGGGTAAAGCATGGAAACATGGAATCACTAATCACATGAACATGCTCGTCCATTGCGCAAGTCGCACATTTAGCTCATCAGAGTTACTGAAGGCAGGCGACCAGTTAATTGGCCTAAATATTAAGGAATTGCAATTTAGCTGAGAACACATGCACAAGCCTGACACTTGGTTGTTTTATTCTACAAAATGATTTGTTTAAGTGTGATATCACAAATGCACATGCAAATGGGGAGGACACTGACCGGCTAAAAGATTTCAGCAGACTACGCGATGCAAATTCGTGCGAAAACCTGTAAAAAAGCCATTCAGAGGCAACTAGATTTTTTATATAAAAAAATGTAAGTTAATAATAATATATATATTTTTTTTAAATACAGGATAACTGCTCTAGCATTGCAGTAACCCTTAAATGAAAATTCTATGCCACAGCAAGAAACCATGTGTATTTGTCAAAGTTTTATAAAATTATTTCATTTCACGCTCCCAGTAGATATTACTCACTTCTTGATTGTTCCCAGCCTTTTCTGTGGTGACATGATCCTGAAAGGTACCCATCGCAGCAAGCCAGAAATTCTACAACAAACAGAAAAATCTCAAAGTAATCCAAACGAATCAAGTAAATAGCATTAGAGATCCGTTTTCACCAATAAAAAAATACAAAGTAAAGGATTCTGAATTAACAAAATGTCCTACCTGCATCTCAATTCTTTTCATATAAAAATGTGTGGTGCCCGAATGTTACTCTAGAATTCTTTGTGCCCCACAGCTGGTTCCCATGACATTGAAATGCTATCATTCATGAAAAATGTATCGCAAGGTTGAAGGGAACCAGAGAGAGTTCAGTAGGCCATCGCCTTCAGTGAGAAAGAAGAGAATAAGACTCAGTAACCACTCGCACCTGTTTGATGACGACCAGAATGGTTTTACTGGCAAGTATAGAGTTACGGACGGGGTAGACGGAGTATAAGACAAACACGCGCTTGTCCTAGACTCATTATTTGAAGCAGCAGTGCAAAGTGACTGGTTAATGCTGACCCCAGTTTGTTTGAAAATTGGCCCTGGAACTCATTACAAATTTGTACAAAGGAGGGAACTATTGTTGAATTAGGGATTACCTCTTTGGCAGATGCAGGTGCTGATGTTGACACCCCATGGAGACACAAGTTTGCAGCATGGTGGCTGCTTAGACACAAATGCCAGCGAGAAAAAAAATTATTTCACTGAACTCTGAACCGAACTTCGCACCTAATGGCATTATTTATGCTATAATAGCTGACTTGAATACATTCTCCAACTCCGCAATTGTCACAGCTTGGCTATTTTAAAACCTATTTTGCCATTTGGATTTCAGTGGCGAAGTGAACTGCCATATTACTTGCCTGTCATGGGAGAGACACAATGTTTAAAGCGGCACTGTCATGGCCCCCTTAAAAATTAGTATTTCATAAAGGTACAATCTTAATGAAACACACATTATGACTGTGTTGGAATTCCAACCCAGTTAAGAGATATACAGACACTACTTTGTCTCTGTACTGCTCCTCTGCTTAACACTTCCTGACACAAGGCAGAGCCTAAGTGTCAATCCCTGCAACTGTTGTCAATGATGGCTGCAGAGAATTAGCTGTGTCAATGAAGGATTCCCCGTAGACCTCAGCGCTGTACTCTCGTACATGCCGTTGGCCCGGAGTAGGACGACGTCGGAGTAAGTGAACCCACCTGTACCTGCCCCCCAAGGTCACCGGACCACCAGCAGCGATGTGGCTGCCAGGGGACTTTGCGATTTTTGCAAAGTCTCCAAACGGTGGCACCGGAAATGGTTAAAAAAGTAAGTGAGCTATTACTCAAAAAGGAAGACACTAGCCAGTGTAAATATAAGAATTGTGCACAATAGCTTCTTGTTGCTTCTAATGCATGATCTAATCTATATCAAAAGTAAGCATTAATCGAACATAATGTGTAAATATTGTATACATTTTTGTAGGTACAGAACCTGAAATATAAATAGTACAAGGTGGACGTTTTCATTTAAGAAATCTGATACGGAAATAGTTACTGGCAGATACAATTATTGATAGAACCATATCTAATGACAGAAGCCAAGCAGAACCTGCAATTTCCAGCTCCCAGAATTCATTAATGCTAGCATTTGGTAATGAAGAGTTAAAAGGGCCTACACGGTGCAATATGCCGATTTGTTCAATATGCCCAAGAGGATTGAATAGATCACACTAAAATGGGTTTAGTTAGAACTCTTCCTGGTTCTCAAGCTCCGATGCGATGTGTGCCATGACTGTGTCACGACTGAACTGGATTGTGATGTAAATTACCAAACCTTTAGTAAACATTTAAAAGAAAATGGTGCATAAAAAAAGGTTAACACAGGTTACAGGTGATTTTCAATGATACCACAGTTCCATGTTAATATTATCCATTTTTCTTTTCTTGGTCTCCATGCCTAGAGAAAAGAGAAACTGAGAATTAGTACAGGGTCTTTTATAGGATTCTACATATAGAGTCTAGAAATCTCCTATATTTTCCAATTAATACAATGATTGCAATGTGATCCGACTGTTCTTTCTTCAATTTCTAGAAAGGCTTCACCCACTGTGGCTCTTTGGGATTGAATATTAATCCTCCACAATGGAGAACAAGCTTGGAGGTTAAAACAGTATAAGACGTGGACAGGCAAATCCCTTGTACCAATGAGGATTAAGCTGCGAGAGGAAGTCTAAAGGACATTCACAATACAGTAATCGGCATGTTTTCACCGTGAAAGGCCTTTTTTTCCCCATTTAGAAAACCCTCAATCTTTCCACTTCCTCCCACCGTCCTCTTCTTCATCTCCTCCATTCTACAGCTCCACAAAACCTTCCTTTCTATAGTTTGGTTCCGATGTGTGTTTTAGGCCATTGCATTGCTGGGCACAGAAGCACCAAAACAAAAAAAGTCTCTGTATTATATCATAGTCGGGGGAGGAAAAGCGGAAACTCCTGTGGATTTTTTTAGTGGCCAACATGGATACATAGACTTATCCCAGGATTGTCTTTCGGACGTGTATTCAGAAAATAATTCCCTTCATTTGTATATGTAGTGTGGGGTAAGGGACAGACTTGAATACTAAATATCCTTGCGGCTTCCAAGAACATAGGCAAGAGCATGCTTAGAATTTAAAAGCGGTAATGATTTCTTGGGAATGATGAAAAGTATCCTTTTCTCCCCGTGAGTTTTTGCTGCTGTAGTTTAGTAGAGTAAAAAGTGTTCAATGCTGCTACTTCGTGCATTGTGGAATGCTGGGGATATTGCAGTTTCTAACAGATAGCACTATAGAGAAGTATCATAGCAGGATTGTCATTTAGGCAGGTCACCTCAATGATTAGGTTTTTCAATTTATTTTTTTTCCCAGTTGGGAGAAGAAAGTTATCAAGATCTCAATGACAGCAGAGGTACAATCGCTTAATTAAGGCAAGGAGAACCTGAGAATCAATACTGATTAAACCACAATGCCTCAAACAACTTATGTTCAGTGAACGGAGCATAGAATTCTAGCTATATATTGTGCTAGCAGTTTTGCTAGCATACGTATAGATTAGGAGAAAAATCTATTTAAAAATAGTTTTTTCTCCCAACTGTCAATGCCTCGGAGTGCTAAATCATGGACTGACCAGGTAGTGCAGAAAATACCTCCCACAGAAGGTTTCTCTGGTCTCCACCCAAAGCCGCATGTCCTGTGGTTGCTATGGAAAAGTCCTAGACGGCGCTAATAACACAGACTAGCGAGTATAGGAAATATTTTCAAAGATTACGCCAGGATGACATCAGAGCACTCCTGGCACAATAACCACAGCAGCAGGCTTCAGTGGTTATGGTGCTTAGAGTGTTTCTTTAAGTATAATTTGCGTGACTTAAATACCTTATATCATCACTCTCTGACATGACAACTTTTAGTAAACCGAAACTCAAACAGAGCTGTAAAAAACGCTGGCTCTCAGTGATAATTGATCAGCATACCCTAAATCAACATCTACTCTATGATAAGTTAACTCCTAAATGACTTTTATTTAAAGGAATTTGCACACTAAACGGAGTACAATTACCTTTTTATCCTCATAAACCGTACATATTAAATAAGGTAAATACATATGAATTTGAACTTTACGTCTGAAAGCACTATTCTTGATAGTGGAATGAATAACATCAAAAATACAAGTTTTGAGGGGGGGAAGTAATACTGGTAGAATTTTTCACATTTCTTTGTCCTTTGTCGGTAAAAGGTCTGAAGCCAAAATATTTGTTCTACAAAATCCCTGATGACAGCCATGTACATTTTGATCTCATACATTTTTTATTTTTTTTAAATCTTAATATTGTGTCGCTCCTGTATACCCAGGGGTTTAACCACTAAATAGTGAATGAGAAAATCTGTAAAATAGCAAAGTTGTGAATTTTTCAAACTATCATCTTTGGCCTTTGTTTTGAAAACTATTTTTCAGTTCACGGTTTAGTGAATAAAGCCCCAGGAATTTACAGAATATCGACGTTGCAGATACTCACAGGACTTGATGCCATTATATGTTAAGTACGCAGTTTTGTGGATATATCTCAGCAACTCAATTTCCCCTGAATGACTTGGATGCCAACTCGCTTTCAAAGTCTTTTATTCACACTCACGTTCTGTAGCTTTAGACATAGTTGAATTCAAAATGGCAATGGACAATATCTCTTAATGAACTGGAAATGTTTTTAGTTAATGTTTTGGGAAGGCTTAGGGACTGAACAGGAAGGAGAAGAACTAACCACAGTGAGAAACATTAGCTATCTGTCAAGGCTCAGAAAAAGTTTTAAGCGCGTAAAAAATTAAATAAAAAAAACAAACATGTTTTGGGTATTAAAAGCGACTCCGCGGATTAACGTGGATACTTTCGCTCAAGTCCAAATGCAACAAGTGGCAACTGCATAAGGAATAAGGAATTCAGCGTAATCAATGCACTAGACAATTTGGCTTTTACGATTTTAAATATTTTTGTACTTTCATAAACCATCTTAGGCCCTTTGCAGTGATACATTTTAGAAGTTTGTGAAAAGAATCTTGGGGTTACAGACACAAACCTATTCTAGGGTAACAATCTAAATATGTAGCAATCCCCTTGGAAACCAACAAAATGTTCCCGTTGATCACGTCACATTTAGAACTGCGCCCTTGAATTGCCCTTTATATATAACCAAATTATATCTTGTAGGCAGTAGGAACTGAATGTGTGTATGCATGTATGTATATTACTGCCTCAAGGAAACCTGTTTACATTGCTATAATGTCTGGGCGTGATTAGACGTGTCTTGTGCATAACAAGATATATATAGGACAGGTCTGTACGTGTATAGTCTGATGTTTAACATTTCTTAATTCATTTAGGAGAAGGGCTTTATCACTGGTGGACAGTTCAGTTTATCAGACGATGATTAAATATAGTCCAAGTTATCGATGATCAGACTGAGCAGGTAGTCCCCCACCAACAACCCAAAGTTTTAAAAACTGATTTTGTTAAAATATTTTGTTTCCAAATGGGACACAGAGGTTTATTAACTGCGCTCAGATTTGTACAAAATTTAAACCTGAACTGCAAAATGTAGGCTAAAATAGAATGGATAATTATTCCAGATGAATCATTTTTGCCTAAAATGTCCCACTTGAAATAAATATTGTTGCAATTCAGAATTTAGTGAATAAACCCTAACAAAAGTCATAGCCATCAAAGTATTACTTGGTAGCACTTATCCTAACAAACATATAAATGCATTTTTATTTTCACTACGAGTTTAGTTTAGAATTAGGTAGGACATTGTCATGGGAAACACGAGGATTTGTGTCAGGTTAGCCTGCCGTCCTGCCACTCAAATAAAGCTGGACATGTGAAGAGCAATGGAGAAGCATCCTTGCTGATATTCAGGGATTTTGATTGGGCGAGTCAAAAATCAAAAACCAGAAAGAAAACAAAATGGGGTTAAATAACTGTTGCCCCAAATTGGGACTGTCTTCCCTAACCTAGGACAGTTGGAAGGTATGGACTGTATCATACCGTTGGCATATGCGGATAAGCTAGAACAACGGAGGTTCCCAAAACGCCCTGGGCAACATCTTAGAGCTGAGACCTGTATCTAAACAGTAAAGGAGATTTTTCCAATACACAGTATAGATTTAAATAGATCATTTACTTGATTTGTACATAAACATGCACATTATTCGTGAAATTCTTCATCAAATTAATTCTTTGCTCATTGTTTGCTAGTTAAGAAAAAAAATTATTTATAACAGGATCTATTCTCCCATGATGTTGATGAAAAATTTATATGTATAAACGGTAGCGACAAATGTTCACATATTCTCGTTTTGCAGTCCTTTACGATTTCCTTGTAGATTTTAGAACCAATTTCCCGTCCCGCTCTTCCACATCATACCCCAAACCCTTCAGTAGCGATGTGTCTGCCAAACCCTGACGTTCCATTGACGCAATGAGTTCCTGATTTCTTTTGTTGTTTTCGGTGAGGTTTCGAATTGCGTACACTGCCCACTGGTTCAGAACTGAAGCCAAAATTTAAGGAAATTAAAATATATGAGAGACAAATATCCCACTATTAGCAATAATAAAATAAAGAGCAGTGATAAATTAATACTTATTGATAAATACCAATCCATACCTCTCAACAGGACAGGCCTTCCGAGGAAGCTTCACCAGTGACACAACTTGTAGGCCTGCCATGAAAGTAGGCAAACCTGCCCACCAAAGGGTCGTGTGAGCATGGCATCAGCCACGTTATGCTCACAGAATGTATCCTGGCCAGCCCCCTACATAGAGGACAACAGAAAGTTCTCTTTGTATGGTCCTAGTGCCTGCTGCACAGAGTATCTAATGATGCGCTCACGCTGTGCTGCCCTGAGACAGTTCCCTGGTGTCAATGAATGTGGGACAGAATCCCGAAATCGGGATAGTCCAGCCTAAAGTAGGACAGTTGGGAGGCCGGCCAATCTGGACGTTTCCAGAGAGGCTGAGAACTTCTTCAGCTGGATAGAAATTTAGAAATATATTTTTTTAATGCACTTCACTTATGATAAACAGTGCATGTAAGTCACGTAGCCTACTGAAATATTACGTATAATATACACAGCTAACGGCAGAGATAACAAAATTGAGCATTTATGGCTGGCCTTGTCTACCTGTAACCTATCATTTAATTTGCTGTTAATTTGCTTACAAAGTCAGCCCACCATTTTAATTTACTCAAAAATAAAAAACAAACACTGTATGTGCAGTCTACAGTATATTGAAAAAAAGTATTTCAAAAAGAAGAAACACTAAGGAGAACGACCTAGTCTGCTGTCCTTATATGAAAAAAATCTTCGGGGAGCAAATCCATAAAAACTTGTATGGTATGAATGTTTAGGGGCACTTTGTAATGAATTTGCTCATTTTTAACTGTTTCCAGTCATGATCTTGCTAAAGAAACAGCTGCGTATTCCCAACATTAAGTGTTTCTTTAAATATGATTGTTATCTGCTGGCCTGTCATTTCAGCTCCTACTGAACGCGATCATTTAGCAGCCAAGGAAGAATATACTGCAGCGTGGACCTGCTCATCTGGATCGTCTGTTAGCGGATCCTTCTCACAGCTCGTAGCCTGTCATAATTCAGGCTGTGGCCTTGGCCTTCAGGTCCTTAACACCGTATTATAAGCCAGTGATAACTAAGCTAAATCTACTGGATATTTGTGAACTATATTACCCATCATGTTCGGTCACCTGCGAGCATCAGGAATACAAGATTAGTCATCAACCAAAAACAAACCAATTCCTAATTCTAGAGGGCGAGCCCAAAAAAACATGTATCTATCTGTAAGGGAAAAAATTATATATTTTTTGACAATGTGTGTGGTATGCATCTTTGCCGTTTGTGGCTGGAGTTTACAATATACCATCACTGCAATGTTACAATACTGTGAGTTCAGTCGTACTGCATTTTGATATTGCCAAAAGATAGGGATGTGGAACTGCACTCAATCCCCTCAGTAATATGAATCTGGGTGCAACCAGACCGGTCTCAGTACCAAGAAACCAATTACTTGATAGAACAAATGTACAAAGGTCAAGCTTGATAAAGACCGTATAGGTTGAAACGTTGTGACTTGGCTGTGGGTTTAATAAATTGCCTTTTTCTTGGATTCTGGAGTGCCTGGACCTTTGTTCTAACTGCATTTTGATGACATTAAAGAAGGATTCTTAGTAAATACATGATATTTAAACATTTGTTATACAATTGCTCAACAGTAGACGTTGCAGGATC